TGTCACGCCCCGGACCTACCCGGACACGTCAACAACCCGCCGTACAGTACGAATAGTCAACCGCAGTCCGACTCATCCATACTATACAAGGCGTCTTGAATACCATTCACACATAGTACATCCATAAACAAACATAATGTAAAACATTTATTAAAGCAGCGGAAACAATTGATACAAGTGTTCAAGCCACACTTGGCACAATTAGGCATGCAAGCCCCCAAAGTAATTATTCAGAAAATATTATCCATGAGCATTATTCATATTGTTTTCAAAACAAGAACGGGAGAAGCACGAACCAAGTCTTCTCCTCAGAAATTTCCCGAAGCAGCGGCTGGTAGTAGCAACCTTCAAGTTCTACCTGAAACTGTGAGGTGGCCTCCCCCGTGAAGGGGAGGTCAGTACTTGGAAGCATTTGACAAGTACAATGACAACTATACTAAGTATAATCAAAGTTTAAATCTCTGAGGCCCTCAATCTAGAGCATTATTACATTTTAGTTAATCCGTTCATTTAGTATCAATTCATCATTATTTACCACGGTCTAGAGCCCAGTTCATAATCACCGTTATCTACTACGGTCTAGAGCCCCGCTCATAATCACCGTCATCTACTACGGTCTAGAGCCCAGCTCATAATCACCGTCATCTACTACGGTCTAGAGCCCAGCTCATAATCACCGTCATCTACTACGGTCTAGAGCCCAGCTCATAATCACCGTCATCTACATCGGTCTTGAGCCCGGCTCATAATCACCGATTCCTTATAATTCAAATTCTTAGGATCTAATTCATCCATTTCTCAACTAACATTTCAAGCTAATATTTCAATGCTAGTTATTTATTTATTTCAATATAATTCCTTCTTCTTGCATAATTGGCCTTAATATCAAGTATCACTTTCATACCTTCATGGCTTCTCCTCATGGCATCAAAGTATACTATCCCAAATGATATTCATGGTTGGTACAACCATCATACACACATATTCATAACATCTAAACATACACAATTTATTCATAAATTTGTGTATCATGCATACTATACTTTTAATCAATAGTAGTTCTATTTAGGCATTATTAACCATTAACAACTCATGCACATCACATTTGTGTTCACTTAGGAAAATCCCATGAAATTAACCCAAAGATTATAAGTAACATAGTCGGTCATCCTCACCTTAATTAAGCTTAAGCGCGTTCTACGTTTCTCGATTGGACTTTGACCAACTCCGGCGAACTTTGACCAACTCCGGCGAACTTTGACCAACTCCGATGAAACTCCGGCGAAGCTCAAAAATACTTTAAATCAAGTTCCTAACAAGGTTTTATCATCACAAAACCCATATCAACACAAATAACCTATAAAAGGTTATTTTCCGGCAAACCGGTCGATTTGGCTTCTAAGTCCGTTTTTGGACTTAGAATCACTTTCCAACCCATTATTCCACACTTAAATCATGTAGAACAATACTAAAGGTCTTTCATATGATATATATCTTATATGCTAGAAGAAAAACAAAGGAAAAGTTATGATAAGGTCATTACCTTAATTTTCACACTTTTTCCTAGCTTTTTCCTTCTTAAACTTTCTTCTTGGACTCCCTTGAGCTTGAGTTCGGATTTGGGCTATGGAGATGAGAAGTTTCAGAGCCCTTCCTTGCTATCCTAGGGTGCTGAATTGTGTGGGTGGAGATGGTGAGGTGAGAGGGGTGGTTTTTGTCTCATTTAGACAAATGAGTGAAGGGAGAGGGTCTACTACATGTCAAAGGTGTCTCCCCCATCCTCTCAATTGTTGTTCAGCCAATTTTGGCACTCATCCAGCCCTCAAGGGTTGACAATTTCGTGGGGTGGCCCCCACCCATGTGGGAGGTCATCCTAATTTGTCCCAAAGTGTGCAATTTGCCCCGAAAGTTGTATTTTTCCGGACTGTTTTAAGTATATTTTATTTTATCGGGTCAAATAAAATATAACACTTGTTCCCAATTCTTAATGGACCTTAGAATCAATATGCATCCCTCAACTTTAATTTAGAAGTCTCCGAAATCCCTTTTCAGGCTGTTATCTGATAGATTGCCGATACTGATAATTTGGCCCCGTTTGACCAACCGGTCAACCCTATGCCATTGTCATGGCTCAACTAGGATATCCACCACCATATACATATTATCTAGTCCAAGATCAATATAATATGTGGCCCCGATAATATCGGGCGGTCCCCACTCCCGATGTGGGCCCCACGTGCATTTTACTATTCACGCGAAAAAATATAATACAAATTCACAACTTCGTAAATTCACTAAAAACTTCATAAGGTTCAATAAATTATTCGCTTAAAGGTAAATACATTTGGGGACGGTGTTACATGACTTTTACTAGTTTTCCAAATTTGGAAAACGCAGATGCTACAGGCCGCTGCAATGAATTTGCATACTTACACCTAGTGGTGGGTCCGATCCCGCTCCGATGTCGATTCCATTCTAGTACCTCCATCCTCGTACCTTACCCCTTACCCCTACCCTACCCTACCCTACTCACCCAACCCCCACCCGCATACCCCTTTCCCTACAATGACCCTACCCCACCCCTACCACATGCCCCTACCTCAGTCCCACCCCGATCCACCCTACCCTATCCCCACCTCGTATATTACCCCTAACCCCTACCTTACCCCTTCCCACATGCCCCCTACCTCGGCCCCACCCTACCGCCATCCTACCTCCACCCTACTGCCATCCTACCCCCACCACCATCCTATCCCTTCCCCTACCTCGACCCCACCTTGATCTCGGCCCCACCCTACCGCCATCCTATCCCAACTCCATACCCAACTCCTACCTTACCCCAACCCCAACCCTACTAACTACCCCCCACCCTTACCCCTAACCACCACCCTAACCCACCCACACCCAACTCCGTACCCCTAGACCCTTACCACCCCACCCCACCCACCCATACCTTCCTTCCATACCCGAGTAGGTATGGGTGGGTATGAAGGGTTTTAGGGGAGTATGGGTAGAGTGTAAGATCGTGGTAAGGGTAGAGGGGTAGGGGTCAAGGGTGTGGAATTGGGGTGTAGGGTGTAGGATGGGGGTACGCGGTATAGGGGCAGGGTAGGGGTTAGGAGTATGGGTACACATACGAGGTGATAGACCCCGTATTATGTGTACCCATATATAGAGTTATTTTGTGTTCATGAATGTTTGTGTGTCTATATATGTATAGAGTTATTTTGGACATTTTAATGTTAAACGGTGTTTTAAACCTTTTGAAGTAAAATGATCTTATAACATTGCTTATTTTATGCGTCGCTTATTAACGCGAGTCTTAATAAGCACCATTTAGTAACCCGTGAAGTAAACGTGTCAGTGTTCTGGATGATCATAGAACTGGGTGAAAAAAATTGATGGACATGTTTTCAGATCTGAAAATGAAAAACTAGAAAATAGAAACAGAAAACTGGAGATAGAAAAATTGAAAAATAAAAATAGAAAATTGGAGAACGAAAAACAGAAGTAGAAAACAGAAAAATATATCTGTTAGTAAAAGGCCCTAAACTTTTCTCAAACCCAAAACCCAATAAACCGAAACCCGAAAATCAGGGCCATATTACCCACGCCTAATTATATATAGCGCCGTCAAAGGGAGTATGGAAACTTGGAAAGTCTGTACTTGTAGTCTAGTTATGAGCAGGGGTGGATCTACAGCCAAGGGAATGGGAGCAGGTGCCCCCAATAACTTCTTATAATACTTTTGTAAAATTTATAATCTAGAGGTATGCCCCCAATTAAAATATAGTGATGCCCCCAATAGAAGTTTAATTTGGCTTCAATTGAAGAGGAAGTTTCTTTCATTTTGTAAAATTATTCGCTTATGGACTGTATCATTTACTAAGGGTGTTTAATTAATCATTTTCTTGATTACTTTTCCTAGACTAATATAGGCAATATGTACGACTCATAACCACTATTTTATTTGCTTTTGTAAATTTACTTCCTCTGCAGGCATCTTTCATTTTATGTAGGGATTAAATAAAATAAGATTGCAATTATATTTTGTGGGATAGTTTCAAGTTATTAATGTTTTTTTGATAAATGATGCTAAATAGGATTACAAATGTTTTAAAATTCTAAAATAGAACTGTCATATTTTTATTTTTTTAAATAGGAGTAATATAATTGATGGCATGTTTTGACAGTATCAAACTTTAGACATGAAAGTATTTTTCCGAACTTGACCATAATTACTCGTATTTAAGGAAAAACATTACACTCCTATTTTGGAATTCTCAAATATTGTTACTCCTATTTCTGAAATTTTTCCATGTTTTTTAGGTTTTAGTGGGAGTTAAAATATTGAACTAAGCTTATTAGCTTAGTTTTAGAAAGTACTAAAAAAACTCCGTATGTGTTTAAAAATTATTAAAAATATTCTTAAATTGCAAGAACTGAAATGCAGTGTATATTACAAACTACTTTGTCCTATTATATTTTTCTAATCATTCTATTTTTCATATGTCCTACTTTCGTTGTCACATACTACCTCCGTCCCTCTATGTTTGGGACAAAGGGGTGTGGTGTGGTCTTTAAGAAAAAGTAGAATTGTGTTGTTGGTATTGGATTGATAAAGTGTAAATAAAGTAGGAATGAATTTTAACCACTCAAATATTACCAAATATGGTATGAGACAAACTTAATAGGACGAACGAAAAAAGTAAAACGGGACAAAATTAGGGGGGCGGAGGAAGTAATATATTTGGTAATATTTGTGTGATTCATCATCTTAAATTATAATTTACAAACTAACATAGTTTTACTTTTATCAATATGTGTTCTTACAACTTAAACATATTTAGGCGACGGTATCATTAAATAGTGTGCCCCCAATAAAACATTCCTTTAACATTCTTATTTTTTACATACTTATTCGGAAATTATGGAGACAAAGCTCTTACGGCGAAGCCAAGGCTGCGAGGGGAGTTCTCGTTCAAAGTCTTCATCGGAAAACTGGGTGCAGTTTTTCAAGATTATTTTTTCTCCAGAAGATTCCACCCTGGTAAGCCTCCTCCCTCCTCACCTTCATTCTTGCATGCTTAATTTGTGGACACATGGAGGGGTCGGAGCTGCCTCTACCACCAATCTCCATAAAAAATCCTAATCTACATCAATATGTATAATTAAACATGAGAAAATCACATTTATAGTCCCTGAAATAGTCATCAAATTGAAATATAAGACTCATATTCCTCTGTAAATGTCACTCCTCAATTGTCCAAATTGTTGTAAATTTGACGATGAAATGTATAATGTGCGTGAGGAGTACATCTTACACATCATATTTACAGTAATTTGGACAATTAAGGGTCACATTAACAATCTTAGAAATGTGGGTCTTACATAACAATATGTTGACTATTTCAGGGCACGTTTTCATAATAAGCCAAATCAGTCCGTCGATTTTGGTATTACCGGAGGGTTTTAATATGTTGAAGTTTTAAGTTTTGATTTTCAAATCCGGACCCCTAAAAGTACATTTCTGGCTCCTTCATGCTCTGAACGATAGCAATAAATATACTCCGTAGATTAAAAGAAGCAGTTCAACGAATCAAGAAAGTAAGACTGGAGAACTATCAGATTTACATGTGTATTCTATATTAATCGATCTGGTAATGCACTTTTATCAAAAATCATGATTGGGAAATTTTTAAATAGGGGTGAAAACATAATGATACTGCAGTCGTTTACTTTTCTCCTAAATAAGAGTAAATTTATGTTATATAAGAAATTATGTTGCCATATTTTTGAAGTACTTGAGCTTTAAATGTTTAAAAGGAAAACTTAATAAAGGTTTTTCCTAAATATATTACTGAATTATGAACATTTTTGTCCACCATCTCTATTTTAGTTGCTAATATGTTATTATTTCAATAATTCAATTTATTACCCCAGGTATACAACTGCAACTTAAAACAAAAGAAAAAAACACAATCATGTGTTCTAGCCATTTGGATTTGCTCACTACTCATCTCACTTTAGCAGAAGTGCCTGGCCCATAGATGGAGAATGCACATCTGTTTTTAGTGATAATTAGTTTTGTACATAGTAATAAATTTGTAAATTTATCACAATTTTGTAGAGTGTATCACAAAGGACATGAGAGATCAAGTCAAGGAAAATGTGGTATAAGCTTCCTAATTTCACTCAATGTGCTCCATGACTTGACATTACTTATTTGGGTGAGAAGACATAAAAAGTCACCTAAATTTGACTCTTCAAGTTATGCTTGCTATGTAGAGATGGAGTAAATTAAAAGTGGAGAATATATCACTCATTACTTATTAAAAAATTTAGTATAATATCCATCACATTGGATATTGCCAACTTGAGTTAGGTGACAAATAAGAAAAGTAAAACTCATTTGACATTTGTCCAAAAGTGAGAGGAATGAACAGAATCACAAATTAGTTAATTGAATGCGAAAGTATACAATTAGTTACTTTAATGGAAAAGTGAGAAAATTTCACAAAATTCAATGAATAGAGAGAGTATTACTGAGTGTCAATTGATTGATAGAAAAAAGTATTGAACTAAACTGATAGCCAAATCATACCATATTCAAGCTAGACAAGGTCAAGTATTTGAGGAAATAGTTTTTTCTTTCTTTTGTATTTGAATAGTGGAACTAAATTGATATATTTAAATTCTACCTGACCAGATTAGAGTAGGTTACAATCGAGTTTGAGTTTTTTGTAGAGGATTCCGGAAGAGTTTGTGAGAAAATATGGAAAGAATATGCCAAAGGTGGGATCTTTTGAGGTTCCAACAGGGGAAGTTTGGGATATGGAGCTGGTTCATTCCCAAGGTCATGTTTGTCTAGCCAAGGGATGGAAAGAGTTCACTCAGAAATTCTCAATAAGAGAGGGCCACTTTCTGGTATTCAGATATGACAGAAAATCCCATTTTCATGTCATCATATTTGACAAGAGTGCTACTGAAATAGAATACCCACAATTCAAATCTAATGCTGGTGATGATGATAATGCCGGATTCAATGCCGCATGCAATTCCGAGTCTTACTCTGATGATGGTGATGATGATGATGATGATGATGATGATGATGATGATGAAATCTTCCAGGAAGAAATGGAAACAGAATGCGTCCAAAACAAGAGAAAGAGGAAAGAAGGGTTTGGATCCAAAGTTGTTGACGTCAACGGATTGAATTACAGAGTGAAGCTTGAAGAGTCACTCCACCATGTTCATGAGAGCTCACCTTATCTGAAATCAAAAAACAAGAGTGAGATTTTCATTCTTACCTCTCTTTTTTCTTTTTTTGATGGATTTATATCTTGGGTGGGTATTTCTGTTCGGTTTGATCGAATATTCAAATCGAATCACATGCCATTTGGTAATATTTCTTTCAACCCATATTTAATTGAATCAAACTGAATAATAAATACAAGACCGAATAAAAGATGTCATTAGTCCTAAATTAATATATTCTAAATAAAAAAAAATCTGAACTAAATTGTAATGTGACATTGTTTTTATTTGATAGTCATTCTCTGACTATAGTTCAAATCGAACCCAGTTGAAAACCAATTTATTGACTTTGAATCTTTGACACTTTGGCAGTGGCATTGTCATTGTTTTCCAAGTTTTATCCAAAATAATATAACTATATGGGGTTCGAATAAATAAAATCGAATAAATCTTGTTCAATATATTTTTAAAAAAATTACACTTGATATATTTTACCCACTAAATGTCATTGATATGAAACATCTTTTTATGGATAACACGAAATTGCATTAATTACTTTAACTACAATTTCTTTAAGTTTAACTTATAATGAATGGTATCAAAGCTTAACCCAACATGAACAAGGACAGAACAAGACTCAACCATCCCAAAAATTTGGAGTAATGTATCACATCATTTATCTATTTAATTATAACTATATGCATGTAGTATATATACGTGAGCCACTGAATAAGGATTTCAGATTTGTATTTAAAAACGATAGGCAGTAACTAATAAATCTATGCATATTAAAGATTAGTTTGATGTTGGCAGCGGGGTTTTCAGTATATTTTTTTTCTGACAATTCCCACTGGAAGTTATTAGTTAACCAAAAGTTACACGACTGAATTGCAAATCTCTCCGTTTCTATATATCATAACTTTTAAAATGTGTTTATCAGTTCATTTATGGTCACCATTATATAGCCATAACAAATCTTGCAGGCATTAGAGCATACCGGAAGCAATCTAACACGGATAAATGGAGATCGGTTAGGAAGGAAACCAATGCCATTGAAAGAGCAAAATCTTTCCGATCAAAGAATCCATTTTACATATCCGTCATGCACCGGTCTTATGTTTCCTCTCCATATACATTCTTAAGTTGGTGCTTACTGCTTACATTCTTCCATACAGATGTCTTGCAAGATCTTGCTAATTTAGAGCCCATTTAGTAACTAAATAGAGCGCTGAATTTTGTTAAAATTATATGATCATCATCATCATTACCCCAGTGCCGCAAAGGCTACCACCTACGGTGGTAAGGCGACGTCATATGTAAGCAGTCTTACCCCTACACTAAAGCAAAGATAGACTGTTTGCTGATGATCCATAGTGAAAATCGCGTCGAAAATTGCGTGAACTGACTGCCGCTTCATAACAAAGAAGTGCAAACAGTTTACTGAACCATTTTGCTTTATTCAATCATATTCTCAAGCCAAGAAATAGTGATTGTTTGGCTCCATTGCAAATGATGAAAAATAAGACAAAGTTATATGAAAATAGCAAAATTGATCTTCTAGTAACTTCGGTCAATTCAGCGAAAAAGTAACTTGAAATTTATCAAACGGACTCTTAGCTTATACTAATGCCTGTTGTTTTCAGAGCATTCCCTTGTCATTTGTTAAGAACCTCTTCACTTCAAGGCATAACGATTTATTGCTAATTTCGAGTGGGAGATCATGGTCCGCCAAATGCACCGTAGGTAGATCACCTAATGTGAAGGTTAGTGGATGGAAGGACTTCGTGTTAGACAACAAGCTGGAAATGGGTGATGTTTGCATCTTAGAGGTTTTGAAAGGCGGAAGTCCATTGATCTTCAACGTCATAATATTTCGGGCAGATTGATGATGCGCAGTCTGGTAATTTAGAAAATATTGGCGAACTCTGCGCAGTCTGATAATTTAGAAAATATTGGCGAACTCTTCAACAAACCGGGCATATGACCTCTTTTCTAGCTGCCGGCAGAAAGAATTTTTCAGACGCGGAGTACACTTTTTGGTGTTTTATTCCACTTTTAGTCCTAGGAGTTAATTCTGCCTACATTTAATTCACGTTTTTCACTTTGTCCACGTTTGATATTTGACTAATGTTTTTTGACTATTTTGATCCCTGCGTTCATTTTTTCGACAGTGCTCCGATGATTTTAATCATCTGAAATATCAACGGAAGGATCATATATGGGGAAAAAATAATATTCATGTATTATAAGTGTTCAAAGTCAAAGAGGTAGACGGATTGTAAAATTGATATGATACTCCTAGGATCAAGAGTGAGATTTATGTATATATGAGGACATTTCTTCTGCTATCTATAAAGAGATGGTATCTTTTATATCACATCTTTTGTCCCATAATATCTTTTCTTGAAGATTGACCTATGTTCTTACCAATACATGTATAGTGCTTTTAATTGAGAGAAATGACTTGGTTACTCCCAATGTTCTAAAATTCGCTAGGCTCTAGTTGGACGGTCAAGCACCGCCTAGCGCCTAGGCGGACTAGGCGCCAATTAGTCGGCTACTAGGCGGCCAACTCGGTTTCAACATAATACCAAAAAGATATAAACATTATTGGCAAAAATACTACAATAAACAAATAAAGTGTGATTTCTAAGTGTAGATTTCCCCTTGAGAGCCTTCGGGATATGGCATCCCTTCCTGATGTGTGATTGTTGGACCGAGGGCCCAAGGTACAGGACTTAGAAATTTTTTGCAAGTGTAGTATGTCACGTAGCCTTCGGCTACTGTGGAGCCCCAACTGGAATATTGAATAGGACGGGGGCCAATTCTTTAGGACTTAGAAAATTTTCTTGAGTGTCGATTCCTTGTGCACTGTAGCCCTCGATTGATAGGTAGCCTTTGGCTATTGGGCCCCTTTATAAGTTGAGGGTGAAATATGTAGGACTTAGAAAGATTTATAAGTGTAGATTTTCCCTTGGGAGCCTTCGGGAGATGGCATCCCTCCATGATGTATGAGTAGCTGACCGGGGGGGGGGGGGGGGGGGGAATATGCAGGACTTAGAAAATATTCTAAGTGTAGATTTTCCCTTGGGAGCCTTCGGGAGATGGCATCCCTTCTTGATGTATGAGTAGTTGACCGGGGGAAAAACATGTAGGACTTAGAAATTATTCTAAGTGTAGATTTTCCCTTGGGAGCCTTCGGGAGATGGCATCCCTTCTGATTCCACATCACTTTGCGAGATGCCCGGAGGCTGCTCATTTAGGACGGAATATTTTTTAAGCGTTGTTGTATTGCCTGGCCTTCGGCTACCATATTCCCTTGGCAGTAATATTGATTGGGCCGGGGGCCCAATCTTTAGGACTTAGAATTTTTTCAAGTGATGCTTCCTTGTGTAGCCTTCGGGTGATAGGTGCCCTCTCACTCTACATTACTTTGCGTAAATTGATGTTGAATCCTGTTGTTGTGAAGAAAGCCAATGAGGAGTGTGTGCCCTCGGCATACACTCTGAAGAGTTGTAGAGTTTGACTCAGCCAGTTGTGTCCCTTGTAATGGGGTAGGGGCCCTCGGTATTAATGTATAACAGCTGCCTTCGGTACATATTTGAAGGTACCGTCTTAGTGTACTTTGGATAGTCCAGTCCCTTTGTATTGTTGAAGCCTTCGGTGTTTCTGTGACCGGAGGTGACCATGCAGTGGACTTAGCCGTTCCTTGCTGCTATTTGTTCGAGTAGTATCCTTCGGGAAATAGGAGCCTTCAGTTACCGGAGGTGTTCTCGTGGGGAGCCCTCGGCTTGTTGTGATCTGTTGGAGTGTACTCTTTGATTTCTCGCTGAGTCTACTCCCCTTCACCCCCCCCCCCCCCCCTTTTTTTGGTTGGTGGTGAAGGGAAGGCATCAAGAAACTTGGTTTCTTGGTAAGGCTGGGCCTATTAGGAGACCATCAGAATACACCAATGGCTCTCCTCCCTCGGGTTAACCTTCCGAGTTCCGAGGGGATCGAGGGTCGTTTCCTGGGCACAAGATACGGTGGTCCGTAACCTGCCTCCCCTTGGGGGATGGCGCGGAAAGCGCCTCATTTTTGAAAGTCGTCCCCTCGGCGCCAGACATAGTCCGTGGCCTGCCACACCCTTGGGGTGGTGGCGCGGGGAGCGTTTCGGTTTGGAAGTCGAATCCTGGGCATTTCTCGTGCCTGTCACACCCTTGGGGTGATGACGCGGATAGCGTTCCGTTTTTGAAAGTCGAATCCTGGGCATTTCTCATGCCTGTCATACCCTGGGGGTAATGACGCGGAAAGCGTTTCAAGGAAGGGTTTTCATTTGCACACTAGTTGCAAATGGCCGGGGGAACTACGTGCCGCCGGCACCGATGGTGGCGCCTTCGGTATATGCGTCCTCGTGGGGTACGGCTTTTAGAAACAACACTTGGTGTTCTCTTTTGTCGTAGTTGATGTAGGCGTCTACCCTCGGTACTTGGTACCGAAGGGTCTTCAAATGAAACACTTGGTGTTTCCCAACAGATGTTTGGAAGTTGATAGGAGAGCATATCCTTGGCACTGGGTGCCGAGGGGTCTTCTTTGAAATATTTGGTGTTTTTTTCTTCGTTTCGATGTTTGATGATGGAGGTGTACCCTCGGCACTGGGTGCCGAAGGGTCTTCTGTAGGAACACTTGGTGTTCTCATCTTTTCTTTTCTTTTTGATGTTGAAGGTGGGAATGTACCCTCGGCACTGGGTGCCGAAGGGTCTTCTGTAGGAACACTTGGTGTTCTCATCTTTTCTTTTTTGATGATGAAGGTGGGAATGTACCCTCGGCACTGGGTGCCGAAGGGAAATGAAACACATGGCGTTCCTTGTTGTTGGTGATAGGAGTTCCCTCCCTCGATACTTGGTACCGAGGGGTCTTGACTGAAAACACGTGGTGTTTTCACTGTTTGTTGTAGGTGTTGGTGGTGTCCGCCCTCGGCACTTGGTGCCGGAGGGGGTTCTTCTCGTGGTGAGGCCTGGGGCCTGTAGTCGGTATGAGGGCTTGATGTCTTGAATGTATCTTCATTCTTCGAAATTGGAGGCCTTGGGCCATAGGATAGTACATTCACTAGTTATGAGGGCTTGGCCGCTCTTACATTATTGATAAAATTTAACTAAATGGTGTACATTCCAGTGCCTAGGGACTTCTTTCCCATTGGGGCGTCTGAGCTTGTAGGTCCCGGGTTTGATGATGGCTGCTATGATGTAGGGGCCTTCGAATTTTGGTGCCATTTTTCCTCCCTCGGTTGGTTGGTTGGCTTCCCTCCTCCGGAGGACATAGTCCCCCACTTGAAATTCTCGGGTGCGAACTTTGGCGTCGATGTAGCTTTTAACTTGCCTTCGGTAGTTTTCTGCCCGGATGAAGGCCTGCTCCCGGCGTTCTGAAATGAGGTGGAGGTCGAGGGCCATGTTGCTGTCGTTGACCTCGGGGTCATATTGGATCATCCTTCGGGTGGGAAGGGTGACTTCCGTAGGAGCTTTGGCTTCAAAACCGTAGCAGAGGGAGAAGGGTGTTTCACCTGTTGCTCGCCGAGGGGTGGTGCGATAGGCCCAAAGGATGTTGTGGAGTTCTTCCACCCAGCCACCGCCCTCGGCCTCTAGCTTCTTTTTGAGGCCCTCGAGCAAGGTCCGGTTGGCATTCTCTACTTGCCCGTTGCCTTGAGGGTAGGCAACGGAGGAGAAGGTGTGTTTGATGCCCCATGCCTCCAGAAGGGCACAGAAGGGGGCTGCCTCAAATTGTGTCCCATTGTCGGAGATGATCTGCTGGGGGACGCCAAACCTTGTGAGGATGTTCTTGAGGACGAAGTGACGACACTTCGCCTCTGTGATGCTGGCGAGGGGTTCAGCCTCCACCCACTTGGTAAAGTAGTCGACGACCACGATGATGTATCTGTTGTTGGAGGTACCCCTCGGCATAGGGCCCACAAGGTCTATCCCCCATCGAGAAAAGGGGACAGAGGTGCTGATGGGGGCATAGTTGACCGCTGGCCTGCCGGGAGCTTTCTGGAAATGTTGACATGCGGTGCACCTCCGGGCAAGGTCAGCACAATCCCTGGCCATGGTTGGCCAGAAGTAGCCCTGGAGAATGAGCCTTCGGGACATGGAGAAGGGTCCCTGGTGAGCTGAGCAAGTGCCACTGTGCACTTCCTCCATTGCGACCTCGCCTTCATCTGGATGAAGGCACCGAAGTAGCGTGCCATTGTAAGATCGTTTGTAGAGCCTTCCATCTTCGATGGTGTAGCTAGGAGCCCTCAGCTTTGCCAGTTTAGCGCGGGCCTCATTCTCGGGTAGCTGCCCTGTGGAGATGAAGGCGGTGATATCTGAGATCCAATCCTCCTGACGTTGTTGTATGTTCATAACGGGGCTTGCATGGATGCTTGAGAGGCTGAGTTCCTCGATTTTGGCAATTTTGGAGATGTGCTCGGGGGAGTCGGCCGAGAGCTTAGATAATATGTCGGCCTCGGAGTTCTGAGCCTCGGTATTTGAGTGAGACAGTGTGCCTCAAATACCTTAAGCAACTCCTTGGCCGCTTCCTTGTACTGTTTCATTCTCCCCTCCTTGGCCTCATATTCTTCGGAGATTTGGCCAACGACCAACTTGGAGTCGCATTTGATGTGGATCTGCCGAGCCCTCATGTTGGCAGCCAACCGAAGGCCACATAGGAGGGCCTCATATTCGGCTTCATTGTTGGAGACCTTGAAGGAGAAGTGGATTGCATAGTAGGCCCTGAAGCCCTCGGGAGTAATGAGGACTACCCCTCCCCCGCATGCTCTGGTCGCGGAGGAGCCGTCAGTGTAGAGGGTCCACCAGTCGTCCGAGGTAGCCGAGGGCTCCCCGTCCGTGGCTGCCCTTGCGGTACACTCCGTCACAAAGTCCGCCAGGGCTTGGCCCTTGATGGCAGGCCTTGGGCGGATGTCAATGTTGTACTGGCTCAAGAAGATAGCCCATTTCACCATGCGGGAGGAGCTGGTGGGGCTCCTCATGAGGGCGCCGAGGGGTTGATGAGTGAGGACCTGAACCGGGTGAGCCTGAAAGTAGTGGCCCAACTTCTTGACAGTCCAAACGATGGCCAACACCATTTTTTCCACATGGGAGTACCTGAGCTCGGCCTCCCTTAGGGTCTTGCTAACGTAGAAGATGGCATGTTGGGTGCCGTCTTCCTCCCGAATGAGCACAGAGCTGATGGCCGCCGGGCTAACTCCAAGGTAGAGGTAGAGGGTCTCCCCTACCTTGGGTTTGGAGAGCACAGGAGGTGAAGATAGATATCGTTTGAGCTCGTCGAAATCCCCCTGGCATTCTGGAGTCCATAGAAAGCCAGCCGTCTTCCTCATGATCTGGAAGAAGGGTAGAGACTTCTCCGCCGA